AACATAGAAAAGAGGAGGAGGAGTATGGAAGAAGTGAATGTTTTCAGATACTTGGGAGTTGACAGGTCGGCAGATGGATTTATGAAGGATGAGGTTAATCACAGAATTGATGAGGGAAAAAAGGCAAGTGGTGTGTTGTGGTATATGTGGAGTCAAAAAATGTTATCTATGGAGGCAAAGAAGGGAATGTATGAAAGTATAGTAGTACCAACACTCTTATATGGGTGTGAAGCTTGGGTAGTGAATGCAGTAGCGAGGAGGCGGTTGGAGGCAGTGGAGATGTCCTGTCTAAGGGCAATGTGTGATGTAAATATTATGCAGAAAATTAGGCGTGTGGAAATTAGGAGAAGGTGTGGAGTTAATAAAAGTATTAGTCAGAGGATTGAAGAGGGGTTGTCGAGGTGGTTTGGTCATTTAGAGAGATTGGATCAAAGTAGAATGACATGGAGAGCATTTAAATCTGTAGAAGGAAGGAAGGCAGGGTAGGGGTCGTCCTCGAAAAGATTCGAAGGAAGGGGTAAGGGAGGTTCTGTGGGTGAGGGGCTTGGACTCCCAGTAGGCGTGCATGAGCGTGTTCGATAGGAGTGAATGGAGACGAATGGTATTTGGGACCTAACGATCTGTTGGGGTGTGAGCAGGGAAATATTTAGTGAAGGGATTCAGGGAAACCGGTTATTTTTATATAGCCGGCTTAAGTCCTGGAAATGGGAAGTACAATGCTGGCACTCTAAAGGAGGGGTTTTGGGATATTAGCAGTTTGGAGGGATATGTTGTGTATCTTTATACAGTGGACCCCCGCATACCGTACGCATCGCATACCGTACAATCTGCATACCGATCGCTTTGATCGCAAAAATTTAGCCTCGCATACCGCCCAAAAACCCGCTCACCGCCCTTCGTCCGAGACGCGTCCAATGTGCGGCCTGAGCCACGCTCACATGTTCCGCCGGTGGCATTGTTTACCAGCCAGCCTCTGCGGTAACATCCAAGCATACAATCGGAACATTTCGTATTATTACAGTGTTTTTGGTGATTTTTTCTGGAAAATAAGTGACCATGGGCCCCAAGAAAGCTTCTAGTGCCAACCCTACAGCAATAAGGGCGAGAATTACTATAGAACACCTCAATTATTGGGAGCGCTTGAGGTTCCTAAACCTGTATTCCCTGGAACGCAGGAGGGAGAGATACATGATTATATACACCTGGAAAATCCTAGAGGGACTAGTACCGAACTTGCACACGAAAATCACTCATTACGAAAGCAAAAGACTTGGCAGACGATGCACCATCCTCCCAATGAAAAGCAGGGGTGTCACTAGCACGTTAAGAGACCATACAATAAGTGTCAGGGGCCCGAGACTGTTCAACTGCCTCCCAGCACACATAAGGGGGATTACCAACAGACCCCTCGCAGTCTTCAAGCTGGCACTGGACAAGCACCTAAAGTCAGTTCCGGATCAGCCGGGCTGTGGCTCGTATGTTGGTTTGCGTGCAGCCAGCAGCAACAGCCTGGTTGATCAGGCTCTGATCCACCAGGAGGCCTGGTCTCAGACCGGGCCGCGGGGGCGTTGACCCCCGGAACTCTCTCCAGGTAAACTCCAGGTAAGAGATGAAGAAAAAGATCATTGATAAGTATGAAAGTGGAGTGCGTGTCTCCGAGCTGGCCAGGTTGTATAATAAACCCCAATCAACCATCGCTACTATTGGTGGTACAGCTGCTGCTGCTGCTGTACCACCGTCAGCTGCTGCTGCACTGTCAGCTGCTGCTGCACTGTCAGCTGCTGCTGCTGTTGTACCACCGTCAACTGCTGCTGCTGCTGTAGTACCGTCTGCTGCTGCTGTAGCATCATCTGCTGCTGCTGTAGCATCGTCTGCTGCTGCTGTAGCATCGTCTGTTGCTGCTGTAGCATCGTCTGCTGCTGCTGTAGCATCGTCTGCTGCTGCTGTAGCATCGTCTGCTGCTGCTGTAGCATCGTCTGTTGCTGCTGTAGCATCATCTGCTGCTGCTGTAGCATCGTCTGGTGCTGCTGTAGCATCGCTGCTGCTGCTGTAGCATCGTCTGCTGCTGCTGTAGCATCGTCTGTTGCTGCTGTAGCATCGTCTGCTGCTGCTGTAGCATCGTCTGCTGCTGCTGTAGCATCGTCTGCTGCTGCTGTAGCATCGTCTGTTGCTGCTGTAGCATCGTCTGCTGCTGCTGTAGCATCGTCTGCTGCTGCTGTAGCATCATCTGTTGCTGCTGTAGCATCGTCTGCTGCTGCTGTAGCATCGTCTGTTGCTGCTGTAGCATCGTCTGTTGCTGCTGTACCACCGTCAGCTGCTGCTGCTGCTGTACCACCGTTGTTGGTGTGGCTTATTGAGAATACCAAGAAACAATTAACCCCAGAGGATTTGCCCCCAGGATAACCCAAAAAAGTCAGTGTCATCGAAGACTGTCTAACTTATTTCCATTGGGGTCCTTAATCTTGTCTCCCAGGATGCAACCCACACCAGTCGACTAACACCCAGGTGAACAGGGAAAAATGCCTGGAACTAGTGCTCATATTGGTGAATTTAAAGCCAGCAAAGGTTGGTTTGAGAGATTTAAGAATCGTAGTGGCATACACAGTGTGATAAGGCCTGTTCTGGAAGAAAATGCCAAACAGGACCTACAGTACTCAGGAGGAAAAGGCACTCCCAGGACACAGTGTCTTATCAGTCATTGCTGCATCTTCAATAAAGGTAAGTTCATTTATTCTTCATTTAGTAGAGTAGTACATGCACAATATATATTGTGCATGTACTACTCTACTATTGTGCATGTATCTCTACTTTGTGCAGTTACTACTCTACTATTGTGCATGTATCCTTCTCTTTGTGTGTAGGAAAATGTATATTTCATGTGGTAAAAAAATTTTTTTCATACTTTTGGGTGTCTTGCACGGATTAATTTGATTTCCATTATTTCTTATGGGGAAAATTCATTCGCATACCGAACATTTCGCATAACAACCAGCCCTCTTGCACGGATTAAGGTCGCTATGCGGGGGTCCACCGTACGTATATGCTTCTAAAAAGTTGTGTTCTGAGCACCTCTGCAAAAACATTATGTGTGAGTGAGGTGAAAGTGTTGAATGATGATGAAAGTATTTTCTTTTGGGGGATTTTCTTTCTTTTTGGGTCACCCTGCCTCGGTGGGAGACGGCCGACTTGTTGGGAAAAAAAAAATGGTACACAAGCCTCTCAGTGATTTTTTGCGAGTGAACATGGCAGATGTGTGTGGCACAGTGCGTGCAAATCTCGTAAGCATATGCCCAGGTTTGACGCTGGCACTCGTAGAGGTGAGGTGCAGGCGTTTGCTGCCAATGACATCATGGCATTTCGGTGGCATGACAAACTAGATGTCACACTGTTGTTATCAGTTCACCCTAATGAAATGGCAGACACTGGCAGGCAGCATAGAGAAAGCAACGAACCCATTCTAAAACCTGCAGCTGGGATTGATTACACCCTCAATATGCACTCAGTGGACAAATGTGACATGCAGATTGGGTTTGCTGATTGTGTTCGCAAGAGTTATAAGTGGTACATAAAACTCTTTTTCCATCTTCTGGACATTTCCATGCTCAATGCTTATAATATGTATAAGATGAGGACCAGAAACAAACCATCATATGGCAAATTCTGTTTGTCTGTCATCAGACAAATAGTATTCAAGTACCAAGGAACAACACCTGCAATAGACCGCCCACTAAATTATCAACAACTACCTTCTCGTCTGAAGCATGGTGATCACTTCCTAGTAAAACTGCCTGTTACTGCTTTCAAGAAAAAGGCTCAGAAGAGGTGTTACATCTGTGCACATACAAAAAAACGCCCACAACAACGCAGAGACACTCGTTTTGTGTGAGGAGTGTAAAACACCACTGTGCATGATGCCATGTTTCAAAGACTTCCACAGGCTGCAGAACTTCTAGAAACATTCCCTGTGACTGTATATGTGTATATAAAATATAGAAAAATAGTAATAAACAATATTTTATATCATTTGTGTGTGAAAACAACAATTATAAACAATATTTATAAGGACAACAGTGTTTGTGGAGTTATTGTGTAGTAAATAAAGGGAAAAAACTTATAAAATAGTGCTAATATTGGTCTCACAGGCCATAAAAGTAACTTGGAAAAAAAAATTAAAAAATAATAGTACCTAAAAAACAAAATCAAATAATACCGGGTGACGGCAGTCGGCGATGATACCATGCATAGGGCATTTTCTGTCAACTTCACGCCTCCATATCACGGTAAGTATTGATGGTAAAATTTTTTTGTTTAGCCTATAATGTTTAGAAAAAAAAAAACTATCTTTTCATAAGAATTTTTTTTTTTTTTTTTTGAAATTTGGGCGACTCTGAAAACAAGTCTCTGAGTGGGCCTGCCGACCCTCAAAGGGTTAATAAATGATAGTGTAAACATGTTTTTAGGGTTTTATATGCACTGGCAAGTGAAAAAAAGGCTGTTATTTACTTTAAGGTGATATTCATTGTATGGCTGTCGTCTGGAACCTAACACTCCACATTATCAACGTATACCTGTAACCTTTAGCTATTTCTCTCGAACATACTGTATACATATGTTACATCAACCAATCTATCATTAAAAACTTATATATGTAACAGCTTAATGTTGCTCTTTTTAAGCAGATACTTCCTATTCATTTTGTTTTCATTTACATGACAGTGAGAGTGTAAATGATAGTGAAAGTGTTTCTTTTTCGGGTCACCCGGCCTCAGTGGGAAACAGCAGATAAAAAAAAAAATGGTAATTACCTAATTACCACTCAAAAGTTATTTTGAAAACAAACCTAGGGATTAGAAAAAAATTTAAATTTAGTCAGTTTTCCACATATATTATAACACTGCCTGAAACTGAATAAGCACCTATTTATAAGTAGCATTTACCTCATTTAATTAAGGATTTAACTTTTTAAACAAAAAACTATAATAAATACATAATATATGCACCTGTGAGATTTGATTTCACATTTGGGGAAGAACCATCTCCCTCGAGAGACGCCCATCGAATACCATCCACCTTCTTCATTTTCACCTCTATCTGAAAATAATTATGAACACTGACAATAGACAAAATATATTTGAAATTTTACAGTAGTTGCCACAAAAGGAAAAAATACAAGCCAAGTACTCTAGAAACTTTCATCAAAGAAAAGAACTATTACTAGTAGAGAGAGCACATACAACAGAACAAGCCATTTTAATGGCAAAACCATTTTCCCCATAAGAAATAATGAAAATCCAATTAATCCGTTCCACCCAAAAATATTAAAAAAAAAAAATTCAAACTAAATAAAGATTTACATACAGAAAACAATGAGAAATCAAGTACACCCATATATAAAATAACATTACACTTACCTTTATTGAAAATTTCTGGGTGAATGGAAAATGGGAGGAGGGGAGAGGATGAAGGTACACTATTGTCTGGAAGGGGAATCCCCTTCCATAAAGATTTCAGGTACCAAGTCCTTTTCTGGGGTTACTTCCCTCCTTTGTTTTTTAATGGCACTGGGACCAGCTTGAGAGTCACTGGACCCCAGTCACACAAAATATCTGTCCAGAGAGCTCTGTTTCTGGCATTTCTTTAAAACATCTCTAAAATGGGACAACACTGTCATTGTACATGTTGCCAACATGGCCTGCAACAGCTTGTCAAGGTGAAGTTCATCCATAAATGTTTGCACCTTTGTCCACACTGCACAAATGTCCTTAATCTTTGAAGAAGGCATCTTCCTCCATCTCTCTTCCTCCTCCTCTGAAGCAATTTCCTGAGCTGTGGTCTGTTGCTGTTGCAGATGAAACTCTTGCAGCTCTGTAGTAGTTAGCTCTTCATAGTGGTCCTCCACAAACTCTTCCACATCCTCGAAACTCACATCCAACCCCATGGAATTCCCCAGTGCCAAAATACTTTCCACAATTGGCACAGGCTCCTCAGGGTTAACCCCAAACCCTTCAAAATCCCTCTCCTGTACACATTGTGGCCACAATTTTCTACGAGCAGTGTTCGAAGTCCTGGAAGTCACTCCCTCCTAACCTTACTTATAAGGTTTATGCAATGGAGGACATTGAAGTGATTTCTCCAGAACTCTCTTAGGGTCAGTTCAGTGTCTGAGGCCACTTCAAAGCACTTTTGAAACACTGCTTTGGTGTACAGTTTTTTGAAGTTTGGAATGACCTGCTGGTCCATGGGCTGCAGGAGAGGAGTGGTATTAAGGGGCAAGAACTTCACTGTGATGAAACAAAACTCCTGCACCATTTGCTCTTCCAAGTCTGGGGGATGAGCAGGAGCACTGTCCATTACCAGGAGGCACTTGAGTTCCAATTTATTTTCCAAGAGGTATTTCTTGGGGCCAAACACTTCATTGAACCAATCAAGGAAAATGTCCCTCATGACCCATGCCTTACTGTAAGCCTTCCACATCACACCCAAATTAGCCTTGGCAACACTATTTTTCTTGAACACTCTGGGATTTTCAGATTGCAGTCCCCACTAGCATTACTACAAAACATGAGAGTTAGCCTGTCTTTCACAGGCTTGTGTCCTGGCAGTGCCATGTCCTCCTGCATGATGTAGGTCCTCTTTGGCATTTTCTTACAAAACAGGCCTGTTTTGTCACAATTGAACACTTGTTGGGGTTTGAACTGTTCAACCTCAATGTACCCCTTGAGTTCCTGAACATATTTTTCAGCCACTTTTTGTCAGAACTGGCAGCCTCGCCATGCCTCACTACACTGTGTATGCCACTACATTTCTTAAGTCTCTCAAACCAGCCTTTGCTGGCCTTAAAATCGCAAACATCAGCACTCGTTGCAGGCATTTTCTTTACGAGATCATCATGCAACTGCCTTGCCTTTTCACAAATTATCGACTGTGTAACACTATCTCCTGCTAACTGTTTTTGGGTAATCCACACCAACAATAACCTCTCCACTTCTTCGAGGATTTGTGATCTCTTTTTTGTCAGCATATCTACCACTTTTGCAACAACAGCTTCCTTGATTTCCTTTCCTTTCGCCACAATCGAAGGGATGGTTGAATGGTGTTTGCCATACATCCTGACAAGCTCTGAAACACACACTCCACTTTCATATTTTTCAATTTCTTTCTTTCTTTAATTTGATCGTGTTTCTCACTTTCTTTACCAAAGGGCTGGCACTAGCTTTCTTTGGGCCAATGGTGATTTATTTAGCAGTTTGAAGCAAAAAAAAAAAAATGGAAATGTATCATATGAATGAGCATGATGATGGTCACTCGCTGATAAACAATGGCACACTGAGTGTGAATGGTGCAGGAGACTGACTGGCTTTGTGTGCACGCTGATGCTGGGATGCCGCTTAGACGCATACCAGAAAGTCACCAAATCATGAGGCCAATCACGAACCGCAAGGACATATTTCGATGAAAAAAGTTGCCGAAAGTCGGATTTCACAAAAGTCGCAGCCGCCGTAACGCGGGGGTCCACTGTATACTGTAGCAAGTTTTCATAACTGACTTTGATCTTGTTTACTAAACAAGAGAAAACAAAAGTTATATGGTTAATTCTGATGACAAAATTTTACCTGCAGATTTCTGCCTTAGTTCTCATGAATTTATTTTATAACTACCAGCCTGGAGTACAAAGGTACAGCATAAAATTGTGACTCATATTTTAAAATTTTAAGGGTTAATTTCTCTATCCTGGCATCATAAGAAATTTATTTATGTACTGCTCTGGTATCAGTAAGCTAAATCTGAAATGTTAATGATATTCACCACCTCTGCCACTGTTTCCTACTTTCAAGTGGCAAGGAGCCATTTACCATGAAAATGAGGGAAAACAACATGGAATTTAGTTACCATCAAAAGGAGTGAATATTTTTTCCTTTGGTGGCTGATATTGTATGTATTATTTATTTTTTCCTTCCGTGGCAATTACTTTCTTAACAATCAAGATAACAGAGAGATTCATGATTGCACTGTATTTCATGACATGCTAGACCCATGTGGGTCATTCAGCACAAGGAATGGTGACAGTTTGGTCCTCCATTCATTAATCATGGCCTGGTATCTGGCCAGTCAGGCTGATTTTGACCTCTTTCCTTAGTAGAGCAAGGCATTCTAATTACATTAAAGAATCTCCAAATTACTGTACAGTAATTAGTGACATGTAGTTAATTAACTAATAAAAGATAACTCTGGTGTCACAACAGTCAATGATGGTGGATAAGAATTAACAAAACATAAGAAAAGTAAGAGTTAAATATGACATATTGTCACTTCTACTTCAGTTGGGTGCCTTGATGGCAGTGACGGGCTCTGGATCATAAGAACTAAAGTTACCCTCCCCTTGAATCAAATCTGATTCACCCCTCCCAGTCCCTAGGCACTGTATGACCCTTGTGGATTTGATCCTACCCTGTGAATATATAAAATAAAGTGGGAAAGATTTCACTTTAGTAATCCTTATGATCAACAAAGAATATTCTTGTCTCATTAATTTGTAAATTAAAACTGAACCTATATAAGTATTGTAACTCATGGATATTTATTCTTAAAAACAAATCTTTCATTAAGCCACAATTGGTTTATGTAATACAGTGGACCCTTGGTTATCAGTCGTTCCTGTTATCAGCCAATTCCGTGATCAGCCGGTTTTTCAGCTCCTGGTGATTGGCCGTTATTTCAGTGATCGGCCATTTCAGACGCGTCCGTCTGCCAACAGGGGCCACTTGTGTGTCACTTTGGCTGCGTCTCTTGGTGTGTGAGGAAGCTTCTGCTCATACATCCAAATATTTTGCTTTTTTTCTGTTGTTTTTTGTGGGGTTTTTGTAGTGTAACTACAAAATAAGTAACCATGGCTCAAAAGAAAGTTCCTAGCAAAGTTCCTGTGGTAAAGAAAGTGATTAACACCATGGAATTTAAGCGTGAAGTGACTAATAAACACAAGAATGGTATGCGGGTGCTGGAACTTGCCAAGATGGACGGGAAAAACAAATCAAAAATTACACCCAACCTGGCAAAGGACAAATCAAGGACGCTAATGTTGCAAAAAGAGTAACTTTTCTAACGAAACAAAGGTCACCAATAATGGAACAGTTGGAAAACTTCCTGTTATTGTGGATTAAGGAAAAACAATTAGTGGGAGACAGTGTTGTGGAATTTATTATTTGTGAGAAGACAAAGCAGTTACATGAGGATCTTCTACAGAAAACTCCTGGAACAAGTGCTGCTGGTAGTGAATTTAGGGCCAGCAAAGGCTGGTTTGAGAGATTAAGAAGCATAGTGGCATACAGAGTGTTGTAAGGCATGGAGAGGCTACAAGTTCTGGTAAATATGCAGCTGAAAAGTATGTACAGGAATTTAAGGACTATGTAAAGGCTGAAGATTTGAACCCCAACAAGTGTTCAATTGTGATGAAACAGGCTTGTTGTTTTGGAAGAAAATGCCAAACAGGACCTACATCATGCAGGAGGAAAAGGCACTGCCAGGACACAAGCCTATGAAAGACAGGCTTACTCTTTTGTTGTGTGGTAATGCTAGTGGGGATTTCAAAGTGAAGCCTTTACTGGTGTATCACTCTGAAAAATCCTAGAGTGTTCAAGAAAAGCAATGTTGTCAAGAATAGATTGCGTGTAATGTGGAAAGCTAATCATAAGACATGGGCCACAAGGCAAATTTTCAAAGAGTGGGTTAATGATGTGTTTGGCCCAAGTGTGAAAAAATACCTCCTGGAAAAGAAATTGCCACTCAAGTGCCTCCTGGTACTGGACAATGCTCCTGCACATCCTCCAGACTTGGAAGACCAAGTGTTTAGGGACTTTAATTTTATAAAAGTGAAGTTCTTGCCTCCTAACATCACTCCTCTCCTCCAACCCATGGACCAGCATGTCATTTCTAACTTCAAAAAATTCTACACAAAAGCAGTGTTTCAAATGTGCTTTGAAGTGACCTCGGACACTCAGTTGACCCTAAGAGTTCTGTAGGAATCACTTCAGTATCATCAACTGCATAAGCTTTATAGGTAAGACTTGGGAGGGAGTGACTTCCAGGACTTTGAACTCTGCTTGGAGAAAATTGTGGCCAGGTTGTGTCCAAGAGAGGGATTTTGAAGGGTTTGAGGCTGATCACGACCTTGCCGACCCAGTGGACTCTATTGTGGCACTGGAGAAGTCCGTGGGGTTGGAGGCAAGTGGCAAGGATGTGGAAGAGCTGATGGAGGACCACAGGGTGTGGAAGAGTTGATGGAGGACCAAAGGGAAAGCTAACCACCGAAGAGCTGCAAGACCTTCAACTCGAACAGCAATAGACTGCAACTGAGGAACTTGCTTCAGAGGAGGAGGAAGAGCGTGTGAAGGAGGTGCCTTCTTCAGAGATTAACCCCTTGACTGTCGCAACCCCAAATCCTGAGGTGTCTCCTGGTGTTGCAAAAATTAAAAAAAAAAAAAATTATTTTTTTCTTATTAAATGATAGAGAATCTTTTCCCGATGGTAATGACACCAAAAGTACGAAATGTGATGGAAAACTTATGGAATTACGCTTTTGCAAAGTTAGTGGCCTCGGCGATATTAATGAATTGGCGATTTCCCCCACTTTGAGCCCTATTTATGGCTAATTCCATTATTCCAGTTGACCAAACTCATAACTATTTCTTTAGAACTCCATTTATTCTATCAATTGAGTACAAGAAACAGCCCATTTACTGATTTTAACTACCCAATAAAGTGGTCAGAAATTGGCAATTTGGCCAATTTCACACAAATTAAAAAATATGCCAATTTCAAAATAGGGTCCAGAATGAACAATGCAGGCATTCCTGGTTCTAAAATAACATTTTCTTTGTTCATCAGTCACGTCTCCAGGCCCCTCTGATATTACTCTTGCTTTCTATTTTGAATTTTTATTCAAACAAAAAATAGAAGATTTACTGTTATGCAGACTACTGTAATATTGTAATAATTGTATAAATAATGTCAACTCATTCATGACTGCATATCAGAATGGCTAGTTGGACATTTACTGGACAATGACATCATTTGTTTACTTTTGAACATTGGCAAAAATCAAACATTTCCTCTACTTTGAACTCCATTTCAAGGTTCTTTTCATAGTAAAACCAATCAAAATCACCTCTATTTCTATAACATGTTTTCCATTCTATCAAATGAGACCAAGAAAACGAGAATACAGTGGACCCCCGCATAACGATTACCTCCGAATGCGACCAATTATGTAAGTGTATTTATGTAAGTGCGTTTGTACGTGTATGTTTGGGGGTCTGAAATGGACTAATCTACTTCACAATATTCCTTATGGGAATAAATTCGGTCAGTACTGGCACCTGGACATACTTATGGAGTGAAAAAATATCGTTAACCGGGGGTCCACTGTACAACCATAAATACTATACGAAAATAGACCACAAATTCGGCGTTTTACAAAAAAAAAGGATGGATTTTTTTTTCTCATTATGCACTGCGTGCTGCAGGATTTTTTTTTATATGGTGCATACTGACCACACAGGCCCATTCTCTCACATGTGGGCCTACCAGCTTTCTCCTGCTTGATTTGAAGCCGCTAGAATTTATGAGTATATATACATCAAACACGGTGGCTCATAAGATGCATATATACAACCGAAACAGTCAAAGGGTTAAAGAGGTGTGTGCAATGTGGACTAGGGTGCACGCTTTTGTAGAGAAACACCACCCTGACCAAACTGAAACAAGCCATATCTGCAACATGTTCAGTGACAAAACCCTGTCCCACCTTTAGGAAATCTTGAAGACATACCAGAAACAGACCTCTATGGACAGATCTGTTGTGTGACAGGGGTCCAGTGACTCTCAAGCTGGTTCTAGTTGCATTATAAGACAAAGAAGGGAAATAACCCCAGAGAAGGCTTTGCTACCTGAAGTCTTTATGGAGGGGGATTCCCCTTCCAAACACTAACTCCTCCCTCTCTCCTCCTCCACATCTTCCAGAAGCCAGCATTAGTCTTCAATAAAGGTATGTAATACTTACATAATTGTTAAAAAAAATTATTTTTTTTTGTGAATAATTTTGTCTGGAACGAATTAATTGTATTTCCATTAATTCTTATGGGAAATATTATTTCGGTTTTCGACTATTTCAGTTATAGGCTGTGCTCCTGGAACGGATTATGGCCGATAACCGAGGGTCCACTGTACTGTACTATAGTGAGGAAAAAAAAAGCCTTTTCTCTAGTTCCCTGGTTCTATTTTCTCTTGGATATTTATGAACTACAAAGCATTTATCAGTCTACTATTAACTCATTCATGCACTACATCCATTGTAATAATTACTAGTAAATACTGTTAAATTTGCAATCTCATTAATCAACAAGTTATGTTTAGTACTGCTGTAAGATGCTTCATTCCATTAACATGCAGGTACACTATATATTACAAGTTATCATTCACTCTCAACTTACTTTGGAAGGCACAACTCTGAAGGACGACTCTAGTGGGTTAATTGGATGACATATATCCAGTTCTAGGCTATATTCTGAGCCAGAAGGAAGTGGTGCTGATACACTTACCTAACAAAACAAAAAAAAAAAGTGAAAGTTAAACTGGGACCAAGTTCATCCAGTAAATATATTTACTAAATATTTACATACAGCAGAACCCCAGTATCCACCGATATGATATCCATGGTTTTAGTTATCCACAGTTTACTGTGGCCCAAAAATACCACTTAATTTTGCGTAAGAATGGCCCAAAAGCACAAAAGTAGAAAAGCTGGCAGTTCTTCAAAGCCTAAGAGAAGCCGTGAAGTGCTTCCCATCTATGTATTCTCCCATGTAAGTCAATGCTAGATGCATTCTCTTATATCTAAGCCCAAATTTACTGCTCACAGCTTATCTGAGTGAGGAGAGCTCATGACGTAGTACTACAGATTGGAACCTGGCTCCAAGCTGTAGAACTGCGGGACAGACCCTCAAAGGGTTAAGGAGGTTGCAATTTGACGTTTCAAAATTTTTTTATCATCTGGTGGTGGTGGATGTAGTGGTGGTGGTGGATGTGGTGGGTGGTGGTGGTGGTGGTGGTGGGGTGGTGGTGGTGGATGTGGTGGTGGGATGGTGGTGTGGTGGTGGATGTGGTGGTGGTGGAGGATGTGGTGTGGTGGTGGTGGATGTGGTGGTGGGGGTGGGATGTGTGGGTGGTGGTGGTGGTGGATGTAATGGTGGTGGATGTGGTGGTGGTGGATGTGGTGATGGTGGTGGATGTGGTGATGGTGGTGGATGTGGTGATGGTGGTGGATGTGATGGTGGTGGATGTGGTGATGGTGGTGGACGTGATGGTGGTGGATGTGGTGGTGGTGGATGTGGTGGTGGTGGTGGTGGTGGTGGTGGATGTGGTGGTGGTGATGGTGGTGGATGTGGTGATGGTGGTGGATGTGGTGGTGGTGTGTGGATGTGGTGATGGTGGTGGATGTAATGGTGGTGGTGGATGTGGGGGATGTGGTGGTGGTGGTGGTGGTAGATGTGGTGGTGGGATGTGGTGGTGGTGGTGGATGTGGTGGTGGTTGGTGGATGTGGTGGTTGGTTGGTGGTGGATGTGGTGGTGGTGGATGTGGTGGTGGTGGTGGATGTGGTGGTGGTGGATGTGGTGGTGGTGGTGGATGTGGTGGTGGTGGATGGTTGGTGGTGGTGGAGTGATGGTGGTGGATGTGGTGGTGGTGGGATGTGGTGGTTGGTAGTGGTGGTGGTGGATGGGTGGTGGTGATGGTGGTGGATGTGGTGTGGTGGTGGATGTGGTGGTGGTGTGTGGATGTGGTGGTGGTGGGTGGTGGTTGGTGGTGTGGTGGTGGGGTGGATGTGGTGGTGGTGGTGGTGTGTGTGTGGTGGTGGATGTGGTGGTGGTGGATGTGGTGGTGGGTGGTGGTGGATGTGGTGTGGTGGTGGGTGGTGGTGTGGGGTGGTGGTGGTGGATGTGGTGGTGGTGGTGGATGTGGTGGGTGGTGGTGGATGTGGTGGTGGTGGTGGATGTGGTGGTGGTGGATGTGGTGGTGGTTGGTGGTGGTGTGTGGGTGGTGGTGGTGGATGTGGTGGTGGTGGTGGATGTGGTGGTGGTGTGTGGATGTGGTGGTGGTGGTGGATGTGGTGGTGGTGGTGGATGTGGTGGTGGTGGTGGATGTGGTGGTGGGTGTGGTGGATGGTGGTGTGGTGGTGGTGGATGTGGTGGTGGTGGTGGTGTGGTGGTGGTGGATTGTGGTGGTGGTGGTGGATGTGGTGGTGGTGGTGGGATGTGGTGGTGGGTGGTGTGGATGTGGTGGTGGTGGTGGGTGGATGGTGGTTGGTGTGTGGTGGTGGGATGGTGGTGTGGTGGTGGTGGATGGGTGGTGGTGAGTGTGGTTGGATGGTGGATGGTGTGGTGGTGGGTGGGTGGATGTGGTGGTGGTGGTGGTGGATGTGGTGTTGGTGGATGGGTGGATGTGGTGGATGTGGTGTGGGATGTGGTGGTGGTGGATGTGGTGGTGGTGGTGGATGTGGTGGTGGTGGTGGTGGATGTGGTGGTGGTGGTGGGGATGTGGTGGGATGTGGTGGTGGTGGTGTGTGGTGTGGAGGATGGTGGTGGTGGTGGTGGATGTGGTGGTGGTGGTGGATGTGGTGGTGGTTGGATGTGGTGGTGGTGGATGTGGTGGTGGTGTGGATGTGTGGTGGTGGATGTGGTGGTGGTGGTGGATGTGGTGGTGGTGGGATGTGGTGGTGGTGGTGGATGTGGTGGTGGTGGTGGATGTGGTGGTGGTGGTGGTGGTGGTGGTGGATGTGGTGGTGGTGGTGGATGTGGTGGTGGTGGTGGTGGATGTGGTGGTGGATGGTGGATGTGGTGGTGGTGGTGGATGGTGGTGGTGGTGGATGGTGGTGGTGTGGTGGTGGTGGGTGGATGGTGGTGGTGGTGGTTGGTGGTGGTGGATGTGGTGGGTGGTGGGTGGTGTGAGTGGTTGGTGGTGGATGTGTGGTGGTGGTGGATGTGGTGGTGGTGTGGTGGATGTGGTGGTGTGGTGGATGTGGTGGTGGTGGTGGATGTGGTGGTGGTGGTGTGGTGGTGGTGGTGGATGTGGTGGTGGTGGTGGATGGTGGTGTGGTGGTGGGTGGATGTGGTGGTGGTGGTGGATGTGGTGGTGGTGGTGGATGTGTGGTGGTGGTGGTGGATGTGGTGTGTGGTGGTGGATGTGGTGGTGGTGGTGGATGTGGTGGTGGTGGTGGATGTGGTGGTGGTGTGGTGGTGATGTGGTGGTGGTGGTGGATGGTGGTGTGGTGGATTGTGGTGTGGTGAGTGGTGGGATGTGGTGGTGGTGGTGGATGTTGGTTGGTGGTGTGTGGATGTGGGGGGTTGGTGGTGGGTGTGGATGTGGTGTGTGGTGGTGGATGGGTGGTGGTGGATGTGGTGGTGGTGGTGGATGTGGTGGTGGTGGTGGTGTGGTGGTGGTGGTGGTGGTGGGTGGTTGGTGATGGATGTGGTGGGTGGTGGTGGATGTGGTTGGTGGTGGTGGATGTGGTGGTGGTGGTGGATGTGGTGGTGGTGGTGGATGTGGTGGTGGTGGTGGATGTGGTGGTGGTGGTGGATGTGGTGGGTGGGTTGGTGGATGTGGTGGTGGGTGGTGGTGGATGTGGTGGTGATGGTGGTGGTGGTGGTGTGTGGTGTGGATGTGGTGGTGGTGGATGTGGTGGTGGTGGATGTGGTGGTGGTGGATGTGGTGGTGGATGTGGTGGTGGTGGATGTGGTGGTGGTGGATGTGGTGGTGGTGGTGGATGTGGTGGTGGTGGATGTGGTGGTGGTGGATGTGGTGGTGGTGGATGTGGTGGTGGTGTGTGGGTGGTGGTGGATGTGGTGGTGGTGGTGGATGTGGTGGTGGAGGAGGGTATTTTATAATTATTTTATGTTAGGGATGTTGTATTGTGCATTGTTTATCAATTAAACTTTGTCACAGATATGTATGTAAACGAAAAACGACTTGTACATAGGGTTCGCTACTATCTGAGGCAGGTCTTGGAATGTATCCCCCATGGATACGGGGAGCTATTGTACATATACACCCTATTTTCTCATGAACTTGTTGTGTAGAGGTGACTATCTGGAATTTTTCAGCAAACTGCAGTGGCTGGGCAAACAAAGTGTACATAGGTGGGAGTTATGTTCTGCTCTAGGCAGATTTTTGTAAATACAAGTACACATAGTATAAAATAACATATTCTTGTAGAACTCTAGAACATCAAAAACTGATAACTATAAAAAATATACATAATTAAAAAATACCTCATTACCTTTGTACTGTGTGTTGAAGTGTGCAGTTTTAAATCTGTAAGCAATGTTTATCTCACATAGTATCTAAATATATTACAATATAATTGTTTTTCATGCATATTAGAGTTTTACACCACACATTTGTTGGTTATCATTTAATATGTACCACCGTGGGAAGCCGGCTGTAATGGGTAAATAATATTTACCAATGATGCACTCGCAATCAGTCTTCTGACATAAATAATATACATTATTTCCATATATTTCACTTACTTTTTCACAAAATCTAATATATTTTGCATATAACACTATTTGTATCACTGTCACTGCTATCTGTGATATAGTAGATACATAAATATTTCTGAGAAACATCAATGATGCAGGTATTGGTACCTCCCTCAGATGAATCAGAACTATCTTTATTTCACTTATGTTTCATTTACTTTTACACAATATTTTTCATATAATTTGCACTGAAACTGGCATTTTGAATATTATTGACAGGCAGAAAATGCATCATCCCACAACTGCTAAAATTATACTAAGCACACTGTTTTTCTATCAAAAGCAGATTTTTTGGTTTGGTTTAACAAATTTCACTCATCAGCCATGAGATGTTTTGTCTGCTGTAAACCCTTAATTAACGGACTAATAGGGAAAGAGTGCAAGGCCAGTGATGGTGAGTGTAGCAGACTGAGATGAGATTATTTCGCCATGACCATAACAATAATGAACAATATACTTGGTCCAGTTTGTTAATCAATTGACCCAGCAGATTTTGCCCATATTTCCAAAGTTTATTAACCTTTAAACTGTCCAAATGTAGATCTGTTTTCACTATCAGCACTTCGAATATTAAAAAAAAAAATGCTCTATTTTAAATTATAGAGGGCAATTTTCTGTGTGTAATAAGACAAAAAAAAATTTTTATGATCAGTACTTACCGAGATATAAGACCACAAAGTTGGCGTTGGATGCTCACCTCATGGCAACATCGAGTCCTGCTGCTTGCAGAAGTGTTGCCGATATACCTTTTTTCCTCGTTTTTATTTTAATTTAAATATTTTTTATGTTAAGATAATTACAATTTACAGTAGTTCTTGTGATTTCATAGCCAATCTTTGTTCTGGCACTAATATTAGATACTGAAATAGTAGTCAAATAGTCACAGGTGAACATTTTCACCTGCCTTGGTCATTTACTATTGTCTAGAAATATATACAAAGTATTTACTAGGTCTCAGCAATGTTTTAGACATGCTGGATTATATACGAAACTTCTTGAAGCATGGTGTTAAGACAAGTGTCACTAAACTGCTGACAGTGCAGCAGTGGAGTGACACTTGACGAGCATGCACTGCTCCAGGGAACCCTGTCCTTATTTGTTTTCACTGTTACACACAAACATGTATGTCTGTCTGTCTGTCTGTCTAGCTCTGCTTATCTGTCTTTCTGTCTGCCTGTGTGTCTCGGTCTTTCTGTCTGCCTGTGTGTCTCAGTCTTTCTGTCTGCCTGTGTGTCTCGGAAATTCTGTCTGCCTGTGCGTCTCGGTCTTTCCGTCTGCCTGTGTGTCTCGGTCTTTCTGTCTGCCGGTGTGGGAGGGGGAGGATGGTTATTGGAGGGGGAGAGGTGGTTGGGGGTAGATGGTTTGGGGGAGGGGCAGGTGGCTAGGGGGAGGGGAGAGGTGGTTAGGAGAAGGGGGAGTACGTGTTTGTGTCAAGTGTATATGTGCTTGTGTATGTGTGCTTGTGTATGTGTGTGTGCATGTGTGGGAGAGAGAGGGATGGGATTAAGGGGGGGAGGGGGAGAGAAGGATGAGTGACCCTTAGAAGCGGGGGAGGTGTGTGTGTGTTATGGGATTAGGAGGAGAGGGGAGGGGAAGGAAGGCTGAGAGTAGAATGACCGCTTGATAACGGGGTCCTTACGGGTGTGTGCGCGCACGCGCGCGCGCGTGTGTGTGTGTGTGTGTGTGTGTGTGTGTGTGTGTGTGTGTGTGTGTGTGTGTGTGCGCGCACGTGTACTCACCTAACTGTACTCACCTAATTGTGGTTGCAGGGGTCGAGACTCAGCTCCTGGCCCCGCCTCTTCACTGATCGCTACTAGGTCCTCTCCCTCTCTGCTTCCTGAGCTTTGTCATACCTCTTAAAACTATGTATGGTTCCTGCCTCCACTACTTCACTAGCTAGGCTATTCCACTTCCTGACGACTCTATGACTGAAGAAATACTTCCTAACATCCCTGTGACTCGTCTGAGTCTTCAGCTTCCAGTTGTGACCCCTTGTTTCTGTGTCCCCTCTCTGGAACATCCTATCTCTGTCCACCTTGTCTATTCCCCGCAGTATCTTCTACGTCGTTATCATGTCTCCCCTGACCCTTCTGTCCTCCAGTGTCGTCAGTCCAATTTCCCTCAACCTTTCCTCGTACGACATTCCCCCGAGCTCTGGGACTAGCCTTGTTGCAAACCTTTGTACTTTCTCAAACTTCTTGACGTGCTTGACCAGGTGTGGCTTCCAGACTGGTGCTGCATACTCCAGTATGGGCCTGACATACACAGTGTACAGTGTCTTGAACGATTCCTTATTAAGGTATCGGAACGCTATTCTCAGGTTTGCCAGGCACCCATATGCTGCAGCAGTTATTTGGTTGATGTGTGCCTCCGGTGACGTGCTCAGTGTTATGGTCACCCCAAGGTCTTTCTCCCTGAGTGAGGAGTGTAGTCTTTGTCCACCTAGCCTATACTCTGTCTGCGGTCTTCTTTGCCCCTCCCCAATCTTCATGACTTTGCATTTGGCAGGATTGAATTCGAGAAGCCAGTTTCTGGACCACATGTCCAGCCTGTCCAAGTCTCTTTGCAGTCCTGCCTCATCCTCATCCGATTTAATTCTTCTCATTAGCTTCACATCATCTGCAAATAGGGACACTTCAGAGTCTATTCCTTCCATCATGTCGTTCGCATACATCAAAAATAGCACTGGTCCTAGAACTGACCCCTGTGGGACCCCGCTCGTCACAGGCACCCACTGTGATACCACTTCACGTACCATGACTCGTTGCTGCCTCCCTGTCAGGTATTCCCTGATCCATTGCAGTGCCCTCCCTGTTATATGCGCCTGATCCTCCAGCTTCTGCACTAATCTCTTGTGGGGAACTGTGTCAAAGGCCTTCCTGCAGTCTAGGAAAATGCAATCAACCCACCCTTCTCTCTCGTGTGTGTGTATATGTGTGCGTGTGTGTGTGTACTCGCCTAGTAAGGGTGTGTGTTTATTGTGTGTGTGTGTGTGTGTGTGTGTGTGTGTGTGTGTGTGTGTGTGTGTGTGTATTCGCCTAGTAGAGGTGTGTGTGTGTGTGTGCGCGTGTGTGTATTCGCCTAGTAGAGGTTTGTGTGTGTGTGTATGTGTGTATTCGCCTAGTAGAGGTGTATGTGTGTATTCGCCTAGTAGAGGTGTGTGTGTGTGTGTGTGTGTGTGTGTGTGTGTGTGTGTGTGTGTGTGTGTGTGTGTGTGTGTGTGTGTGTGTGTGTGTGTGTGTGTGTGTGTGTGAGGGAGAGATGGTTACGGGGGTAGGGGAGGGGTTGTTGTCGTGTAGGCTCATATTTAGTCCCAGTTGTCTTTCCTAGTAATGCTACTCTCTCCACTTATTGCCCTTTCTGGATTTAAGTATCAGTTACTGCTGGTTATTATCCTATTCCTTGTGTGCACGTGCACATACACACACACACACACACATGGTAACTAACACACACACACACACACACACACACACACACACACGCAGACTTGTAAATATGCTGAGTCAGGGTGTGGCTGCTGTCAAAATGACAAATTATACCATCACTCACTACCCTTACTGCCTGTCAACACCCATGGGATCTCATTCCTTCTTCCCCACCATCCTTCCTTTCCTCCTTCATGCCTTCCTTTCTTCCTACCTTCCTTCCTTACTTCTTCCCTTCCTCTCATCTCTTTCTTTTTCTTTCTTTCTTTCTTTCTTTCTTTCTTTCTTTTCTTTCTTTCTTTCTTTCTTCCTTCCTTTCTTCCTTACTTACTTCCTTCCTTCTGGTATCCTGGGCATTGCTTTAGGGCACAAACTCCTCAAAACCATGAAATTTATCTTCAGAGACACTTCCATCTGTGTTAGAGCTATCAATTGGGAAGAGAAGAGTCCCAGATTCGCCAGGGAGTCAGATATTTCTTACCGTTAGGCATGCTGAATAAAGATTACTGAAATGGCATTCCCACAATGCACCACTGGCTCCCTGATTTTTTTTATACTGCGCACACTGACCATGGAGACCCATTCTCTCACGTGTGGACCTACCAGCTTTCTCCCACTTGACCTGAAGCTGCTAGAATTTTGGCGTATTAATATGTCGAAAACATTGGCTCGTAAGACGTATATATACGGCCAAAACAGTCAAAAGGTTAAAAGGGGTGTTAATACGACATGACATCAATGAATCCCTGGTGTTTGCCACACTATTTGCTCTAGCTGAGGCTCAATTGAACTGGTGCTCCCACAAGGTACTAAGTGGTCCCAGATTTTTTTAATACTGCACACACACAGAGTATTAAGACCCATTCTATAGTAACCAGGCATCTGTGGCCAATCGTGCCAAATTTGGAGGCAGGAAAAATACATTTGTAGTGCTAGCGGTACTAACATAGATCTACATTTGGATAGTTTAATGGGTTAAACTGAAGTCCAGTAAACTGAGGGTTTACTGAAGTATATAATTTAAGCCATGTGGGGCTTAATTTCAGCCTACTATGATTTTTGTTAATACGACTATGTATGTGTGATGTATGTATACTGTATACGTATACATGCATGCACTTATGCACACACACACACATCATCATCTACTTGCCCATATGTATGTATATATCCAGTAAATCGATTATCCGGCAACTGCTTATTTGGAGTCTACCATTATCCAATAGTCTTTGCGATACAGGTCACCTGAACAGATAATGTGGGAAGGAATGTTCAAATTAAGACATAAAAATCAATGAAATTATGTAGCTAGTTTGAAAATCTGGCACAACCTCACCCTGGTGATTCTGGATAACCTATGCTTACCTTAGTGATGCCAGATAATCTATGTTCACCCTAGTGATGCCACATAATCTATGTTCACCCTAGTGACACTAGATAATCTATGTTCACCCAAGTGATGCCTGATAATCTATGCTCACCCTAGTGATGCCAGATAATCTATGCTCACCCTAGTGATGCCGGATAATCTATGCTTACCCTGGTGATGCTAGGTAATCTATGTTCACCCTGGTGATGCTAGATAATCTATGCTCACCCTAGTGATGCAGGATAACGTATGCTTACCCTAGTGATGCTGGATAATCTATGCTTGTCTGTGTATCACTACAAGCTTTAGGATTAAGAACTAACTATAACCAGTATTATAAACAATCAATAATGGTAAAGAAAAGGTCTTGTAATGCATTACTTACAGTCTTGTCAGTGAAATTTACTTTAACATCTTCTTTCTTCAAATTTTTAACAAGTATAGTGATGACAATATGGGTTTCAGTCTGGTACCAATCATGCTTTATTTTTGGTACTGGCATGGTATTGGCTGCACTCTCAGGTTTCTCCATGGTGCTCCCTGGCAGAAAGATATGTTCAAACAGTAGTTGAGTAATACCTAATTCAATCTTTCATGAATAATATGTACTTAAATCAATCCCTTATTACTGAGGCTTCCTACAGTACTGCAAGGCATGTCCCTGGCACTCTTACTGTTGTTCATCTTCACGACAGACATTGATAAAAGCACAAACTAAAAAGTTGTTGCTGTACAAAAATTACAAACATCAACAGAGGAAATTAATATGACATTTGATATTTGGGAGTGGACGTGTCAGCGGATGGGTCTATGAAGGATGAGGTGAATCATAGAATTGATGAGGGGAAAAGGGTGAGTGGTGCACTTAGGAGTCTGTGGAGACAAAGAACTTTGTCCTTGGAGGCAAAGAGGGGAATGTATGAGAGTATAGTTTTACCAACGCTCTTATATGGGTGTGAAGCGTGGGTGATGAATGTTGCAGCGAGGAGAAGGCTGGAGGCAGTGGAGATGTCATGTCTGAGGGCAATGTGTGGTGTGAATATAATGCAGAGAATTCGTAGTTTGGAAGTTAGGAGGAGGTGCGGGATTACCAAAACTGTTGTCCAGAGGCTGAGGAAGGGTTTGAGAGTGGTTCGACATGTAGAAAATGGAGCGAAAAGAAGACTTCAAGAGTGTATCAGTCTGTAGTGGAAGGAAGCGGGGTAGGGTCGCCTAGGAAAGGTTGGAGGGAGGGGTAAAGGAGGTTTTGTGTGCGAGGGCTTGGACTCCAGCAGGCGTGCGTGAGCGTGTTTGATAGGAGTGAATGGAGACGAATGGTTTTTAATACATGACATGCTGTTGGAGTGTGAGCAAAATAACATTTATGAAGGGGTTCAGGGAAACCGGGAGGCCGACTTGAGTCCTGGAGATGGGAAGTACAGTGCCTGCACTCTGAAGGAGGGGTGTTAATGTTGCAGTTTAAAAACTGTAGTGTAAAGCACCCTTCTGGCAAGACAGTGATGGAGTGAATGATCGTGAAAGTTTTTCTTTTTCGGGCCACCCTGCCTTGGTGGGAATCGGCCAGTGTGATAATAAATAAAAAAAAAAAAATTGATGGTAACAAATTTCAGTTGTTTAGATATGGAAAAAAACAATAAAAAAAAATCGCAGGATAAAAAAATTCAGAAAGACCAATCCAGAGAAAGAAATAATATTTAAAAAACCTAGGAAAACTAACATCAGATGACCTATAACTTAGATAATGGCACTAAGGAAAATGGTTTCAAAGGTGAGAAAAATGACAAGTGGGATTATAAGAACTTTCAAAAACAAGAGTAATTCCAATGATGGTACTTTTATTCGTGCTCTTACCTCTGGAATATTGTGTTTGTGCACACAGCTCCTCAAGTGAACTTAGTTTTTCTTTTCCAAAACATAATGTTTAAGTTACATATTACACTCAGTATTAATGACATTTAAGAACCATGTTTATAATATACAGCCACATGAGCTTCTGGCACGGGTTTTCCAGTTCAACATAAAAATAAGCCATACAATTAAAAAAAAATTTTAAAAATAGTTTCTGAACCCCATACATTTTCTTACGTTCCTTTTTCTTATAAAATTCATTATTAACTTTGGTGGGACATAATTGATACTGTTGGTATGCAGTGAAGAAAACCGAGCATCACTGTGGTACCTGAAATCACAACCGTCATGAATCTTTAAAAAATGTGTAGTTACCCACTGAAACTATCAAAATATGTTTTAATTTACTAGTTTTTAATGGTTGTCCATCTTTCTATACTTTCAACATTAACACCATACAATCAAACAACATTCAAGAAATTATGGCACAAATTTTCATCACAGTATTGGGGTTCAAAAATTTAAAGGGTAGCAATGTTGAACAATATTAAACTTTTAAAGAAGGTACACAACACTCTCAAATATAATTATATGCTGTAAATGCATACAATTTTTAATTTAATTTTTTTCTCAGCTTTTAGGATGAATTTCTGAGAAGTCTGGAGTTTACCTGGAGAGGGTTTCGGGGTCAATCCCCGCTGCCCGGTCTGAACCAGGCCTCATGGTGGATCGGGTTGGTCAACCAGGCTGTTACTGCTGGCCGCAGCAAGCTAACATACGAACCACAGATGGTTGGTCAGGACTGACTTTAGGGCCTGCCCGTGCCGCTTTAAGACAGCCGGGGGCATTGTAAACCCCCTTATGCATGCGGGAGGCAGTTGAACAGTTTGGGCCTCAGACACTTTTTGGTTCTCAGTGTACTCAGGTCCCCCGCTTTTCTTTGGGGGGATTGTGCTCTCCTCCCGAATTTTTGCTTTCAAGGGAGTGATTTCATGTCAGGTTTGGTACCAATCCCTCCAGGCCCTTTCCCAAAGTGAATATTATCATGATCCTCTCATCTGCATTAAAGGGGGAATACAGATCAAGGACCTTCAACTTTTTCCCAGTGGTTTGATGCCTTATCGACTTATGGTGCCGTGAAGGGTTTCTTTGTACTTTCCTTCAGATCTGAAATGTCGCCCCCTTTGAGGAGGCCATTGTGGTACAGCAGTATTCCAGCCTAGAGAGCACAAGGTTTTGAAGAGAATCATCGGGGGCTTGGCATCCCTTTTTAAGGGTTCTCATTACCATCCAATCTTTTTTCCTACAGATGAGGTAGATACATTGTTGGGGTCTTTAAAAGGGAGATCCTCTGCATTATCACTCCCAGACCCTTTCAATTATTTTTCTGTTTTTATTGTATGGTTAGAATTTGTCAAAACCCTGACACATTTTTTTTTTTTCAAGTTTCCCCTATCTGAGTAGTTGAAATTTCCCCTCATTGAATTCATATTGTTTTGAGGGGCCCCATTCGAAGATTTAGTGATGTCGCTTGGAGTCTGCGGTGTCTTCGTTCAGGTTATTTTGAAAAGGGAAACATGGAGCTATGGCTTACTCTCTATGTCAGAAAAAAGGATGAGGAAAAAGGGGGGCAGTACTGTCCTTGGGGAACAGAATTTTTTCCCATGGCTGCCTGGACTTTACTCTGTTTTCTATTACTCTTTGTGTTCTATTTGTCAGGAAGTTGTAGATCCATCTACCCCTTTTCCCGTTATTCCTTTATCACCTTTTGGTCATTACACCAGGCACACTTGGAAAGCTTTTTCGAAGTCTTTTTACAACATCGTATTTTGTTTATCCCCTCAGCACCAGGACCTTGTCATAGTGGTCCAGTAGCTGAGACAGGCAGGAGCAACCTGCTCTAAACCCTACATGGAAATATGATTTTTTTTTCTGGGGGGGGGGGGGATCTATCCTATTAAGCATGAATTTTTGTTTGCCTTATGTATGAATTTTTATGGGAAGCCTTCCATTCTTGATATGCCCTAAGCAAATCTACAACATTTCTAAATATACAATGTGAATGAGAACTGCCTCAGTACATCCCATCCTCTAACTTCAAAATGTAATGTGTACAGTTACTAACACCTTAATGGGCGATGAAGCAACCTGTGTTGCCAGACTCAAGTTGCCTATTTGTTTTTACATTATTTGCAGTTACCTGTACTTTATTTACATATATATAGCTTATTTATGCTAGGTTAGCATAAACCAGAATAAATAATACAGTAAAACCTCTCATTAATGGATTTCATCACATTCAGACAAAATTAAAAGTCCAGACAAATGCTCTAGTTAGGCAAAATACACGAAAGTTCATAATTCTGCATTTTGTCCATAGTGATGGAGTTCAGTTATCTTAAGTACTCGGCCAAGTTGGCTCTAACTTTTATCAAGTACCGGTCAAAGCGGTTATGTCCAGGACCTGTCTGTTTTCATTGTTCCCCAAATCATAAACCACCTGTGCCAGTTCATTGTTTGTGTTCATTCTGGAATACATTCAGCCTCTAATTTTCTCTGGATTAAGAGCATTGTGTGACTTTATTGACATATTTAGTAAGGTGCAATTAATAATGGCTTCTAATGCAAGTAGTGGTGCCAAGAAGACGAAAAGTGTGGCTCTCAGAAATCTGTCTTCTCAGGCATCTAGGTCTTCTCAGGCATCTAGGTCTTCTCAGGCATCTAGGTCTTCTCAGGCATCTAGGTCTTCTCAGGCATCTAGGTCTTCTCAGGTATCTAGGTCTTCTCAGGTATCTAGATCTCAGGCATCCACATCATTTTCACTAGTAGTTCCCGACTCAGAATAAAACTTGTTCTAGGTCACCACTGTCGATCACAGTGGAGAACTATAAAATTACTGTATAGTACAGTACAGTACTGTACTACACAGGTTACAATACCCATATTCTCAGTGTCTGGTTGTCTTCTGCATTAGTAGACCAGGTCCACTATTTCAGAGGACAACTGCATGATCGTGAAATATTAATTTCATAATTCAAGATATGTGGACAATTAGTATTATTGTATATCCCCTTCCCCCCATTAGTCTGTTAGAGGTTTTACTGTATATAATAAAATACAGTGGAACCTCTACTTACGAGTTTAATCCATTCCTCGACCTTGCTCACATCTGGATTTGCTCATTTGCAGTCAATTTCCCTCATTTAAATTAATTGAAATGAAATTAATTTATTCCAGTGGAATTCCAGGCATGACAAAATACTTCAATAATTTCCCTATTTTTTTTTTTTTCAACAAGTCGGCCGTCTCCCACCGAGGCAGGGTGACCTAAAAAGAAAGAAAATCCCCAAAAAGAAAATACTTTCATCATCATTCAACACTTTCACCTCACTCACACATAATCACTGTTTTTGCAGAGGTGCTCAGAATACAACAGCTTAGAAGCATACACATATAAAGATACACAACATATCCCTCCAAACTGTCAATATCCCAAACCCCTCCTTTAAAGTGCAGGCATTGTACTTCCCATTTCCAGGACTCAAGTCCGACTATATGAAAATAACCGGTTTCCCTGAATCCCTTCACTAAATATTACCCTGCTCACACTCCAACAGATCGTCAGGTCCCAAGTACCATTCGTCTCCATTCACTCCTATCTAACACGCTCACGCACGCTTGCTGGAAGTCCA